AGGATTCAGGTCATTATGAATCTTTTACAACAAAAATTCCTCAGGATATGATCGTTAGTCTGATACTGTAGTTGTGATAGAAATCATGTCATACGGTGAGTTAGGAAGGAACATGTGTACGACCATTAGGAGTTGAGTATATGAATCGAGAGTTAGGACTGAAGGTCCATCGGAATATGAAGGAACATGTGTAGTTTCAAGCATCACCATTAGCAAATAGGTTCCAACCTATCGATTATCGTATAGAAGACTAGGGAAGCTGAGATTGTAGTGGCTAGTATAAAAAGGCACATGCAAGCGTCTTCCGTGCACTTGAACCCAAGGGTTTTAAGAGGTGTTAGGAGGATCATTACAAGAGTAACAATTGGAACACTATAAGGTAATTGTCCCAGAGAAACGAGGAAGATGGATTAGACCTAAGAAACGTTTTTATTGCTACATTAGTAATACCCACTTATACCATTTAGTTACTCGTGTGCGTTCCTACACAAAATTATTCTAGTCACGACCTTATCATGTTTTAGTCATGCTATGCAAGAAGACCACTTATGGTAGGCACAACTAGTAGTGCTATGATAAGAATGTTGAAGGTCATTGTATATGACAAACAAAGAGTATCTTCAAAGTCAAAACAAGCTAAAAGTCATGTAGGAAAATCCATCTTAGACTTTAGCTGGTTATGAGCAACAAAAAATGATGGGTCTAACCTAAGTAGAGGAGAACCAACCCTTAAGGAGAAAGTGAAAAAAATTAGTTCGGCTTTCAATTTCGACGTCAAGGTCCAGGAGAGTAGCAGCACGAGTAAGCGGAGGTTGTTAGTTTCATTAAGTGAGTAATAGAAAAAGGAAGTTTTCTACTAGACTACCCATAGGCTATGATTTTTGTGCTTCTCAAGGAAAGGTTAGTCTTTCCTCCCTAATGTCATATAGGATTTAGGAAATTTCCAAATTCCCAGGTATGGCTCAGATAACCAAGAGAACCATTTTGGTTCGTACCTTCACGGATGAAGGATATATCCTCGTAGTAGAGGATCAAGAATTCAATAGGTGGTGTGGTTTTCCATAGAAAGTGTTGAGTACTCAAGGGATACATCAGACTTAAAAATCTTAGTTAAGCTTATATTAAGAAATTAATTGCCCTATGCCATAAGATGGAAACCATAGGATCGAAGTCAATGAGAAATTGTTTTTGTAGTACGAACGTTTCAAGCTATCGTATAATACTTGCATAGAGGCGCCTAGAAAAGGATCATTTAAGATGGACCCTAAGAGGTGGTAGTACTTTCCAAAGGTTGCAAATATAACAGTAATATACATAATGGGATTTATGGATCAAGTTGTTGATCCAAGTTCAAACAAGTAGTTTTAATGTTATCAGTAGTAGTTAAAATTAATTAAGAGTACCTAGCGTAAATTGACAAGAGTTAAATTTTTGGAGTAACTCGGCGTTAAAACTACATAAGCAGTAGTATTTGTTGGAGATTCAGTTGTAAAAACACCTTGCCAGATGTCAATAAAAGATTGACTTGCAAGGAAAAGATTTAAAGATTTCTTATGAGGATTAGAACTGCAATAAAACTGTAGAATAATGTTGAGGAGTTGTTCAAGTTTTTAGGATGCAAGGTTTTAGTTGGAGATAAAGAACACAAAAGGATCCTAAGTGACACATTCATTTAGTTAAGATTCACGTTAGATAGATCGTCAAGTGCAGCTGCATATATGTCATTGCTCTCCGGGGAGAGCTATGTATTTGGTATAGTTATTCCTTTAGATAATAAGCATAAGAATTAATAAAAAAAACTAGGATGAAGGTTCAACAATCATAGGATAATTTAGGATGGCGAATAGACTTTAATCTTTTGATGGAATATATTAAGGACCTCTAATCCGTTGTATTCTAAAAAGTTTAAATAAAAAAGATTTGTTCTGATATCGAGGAAGAATGAAGATTTAGTTCCTTTAAAGATAATTGGATAATGGCTGTGAGTCTTTAAGAACACCGAAGGGTCGAACATGAATCTTTAGTCCTAATAAGGATGATGATAAAAGCAGTCTAGTATCGTAATCCTATTAGTTGGATAATGTCATGATGTATCGTGAGCGGACAAAGGGACGAATTGCACAAACAATAATTGTACCTTGATGTTGGAAGAGTAGTTAGAGCCTTGAGAGAATATTAGTGGTGACCTAGTGTTCATTATAATCTATTAGGTTAGAGGATATGCAAGCCTTATAATGAGTCTATCACCAATATTAGAGTATTGGTTCCAGAGTCTCGAACTAGTAAACCTACTAATATAGTAATTTCGGTTGAAATTCAGGATGTTGGAATACCTAAACTAGGTTGTAATCTACATTTATATGTGTTTTAAGGATATGCCATAAACCTTTTAAAGTAATGTTACGAAAGAGTAGATTCAATTAGAATGTCGTAGAATAAATTTCCATATGAATCACTTTATAATGAGTCAACTGTGTTGACATTTCACGTTTGAAGGCAATCATCAATCGTAGCATGTAATTTATGGAAGTCCAAACCTATAAGGATTTGATCTCAATGTCTCTAATAGGGTGGCGTACAACAGCAAAAGGAGCAAGATTTAGGGGATGAAATCTTTGTAATAGGGGGAGAGTTGTAACACCCCATTTTCATATTCCAATAGAATTCAATATAATAATCATTTATAAAATTTGAAGTAGAAATATATTACATTTTAGACAAATTAATCATCATAAACATGTAGAAAAAATCAATACCATTTCCGTAGATATATAGAAAGCTTGGATCCGACTTCGAATGAAGAATTATGTGTTTTTGAAGTTTTGCGATTAAATCGACACGACTATGTGCATCGTAAAATATGAATCACAGATAGATTACTTATTAGATTTAGTGATATAAACAAAGGCCGTATTATTTGTAAAACCAAGAGCGTACATATAGAGAATGTCCAAATCTAACTTTGTATGATGAAGTTATGATTTTTCCAAGTTTCAGCATAGTAGTGTGCCACATAGAAACCGAAATTAAGATCGGTCGATTGTTAAGAAAAAAACTCTAAATGATAACTGAATATCTCGTCGATATAGACAGTCGAGAACGGAATCCGTATGAAGAAGTTATGAATTTTACACGATCATTAGCAGTATAATCTTCGTAGACTATTAAATTTAATATCATATGAGAATTAGCCTATGGAGTCAAAATGAAAGTTGTAGTACTCGTCAATAGCTATGCATGGATATAACGAACGTTGAAAACGGAGCTCATACGTGAAAGATATGATTTTTAGAAGATACACGATTTTACCTGCTAAGGGGCGACGCTACCAATTCTGGGACTAACACATGGTGAGACCGGCTCCACCCAACCCACCTACCACAAGGGGCAGTGCGCCTGGTAGGTAGGTGTGGCGTGCCTCCCCCTTTTCTTGTGTATAAGTAGAAATCAAACATCCTATTCTTCCTCACACCATATTCTCTTCTCTCTCTTGTTCCTCCAGTATGATTTTTGGAGTTTTTCGGGAGTTTAGAAAGTTTCAGTTTAGTGAGACCATAGAGCATCGGAGGTCAGGAATTAGTAGCTTTTGGTTTCGAAGTTCTTCTTGTGAAATTCCTAGTTTTCGCTAAAAATTCTCTGTAAGTTAGGCTACACTTACCACACTTAAAGTGTAACTTGTATTTATATTCTTAGTCGTTGTTATGAATGTATATACAAGATTTATCAGTAGTTCCAGTTATAAGGTTGACTGATCTACTTATGGGAGAGGTTTCTGAATGGTCATGTTGGTTTGGTTATTAGATTTCAGAAAGGCATATGCCAAAATGGTCATGCCTCCCAACTGTATTACAGATCTAGATTTCAATACCAAATTGCTATAAGTATTTATAAGTTATAGTATTATAGGTAATACTTGTTAAGTGTGTTACTTGCTAGTTGGATCGCCTAGTTAGCTATCAATTGTCTGAGTAAATATCCAGGTGATTTTTCTCACTATATTATGTTCTTCATTATATATCTTCTATATATAAGGATATAGTTTCCATGTAGTATGAAATTAGGCAAGTTCTGCTAGTTACATGTAGTGTTGGATTGTTTTCTAGGATATATATATATATATATATATATATATATATATATATATATATATACATATGTGTGTGTGTTGATATATTATATCAGGAGCTGAGGGAAGCCCAGCCATGAGTCGAAGGCCAATAGACTCACGATGACTCACTACTAGAAAAACAGCCTTTTACGACGCTCATTGCGCGCCGTAAAGGGCTCAGACGACGCGCAAATGCGCGTCAAGGAAGGCCCTGTCATAAAGAGAGACGACGCGCTTTTGCACGTCATCTATAGACGACGCGCATTTACGACGCGCAATTACGACGCGCGTTTACGACACGCAATGCGTATCAAGAAAGGTCCTGTCATAAAGGAAGACGACACGCATTTGCGTGTCATAACCTTACGACGCGCGTGTTAATGACACGCAATGCGTATCAAGAATGCCCTTGTCAAGAAAGGCCATGTCATAAATGAAGATGACACACATTTTTGCGTATCGTAAATTTAAATGTTTAAAAAAAAATAAATTTATATATTTATTAATATTTAAATTAAATTTTCATTTAATTTCTCATAATATAAATAAAATACCATATACAAAAAATACAATCCATTGCATAATATAAAATAAAATTTCATACTCAAAAAATAAAATAAATTGCACAAATTATAATGTCATACAAAGAATCATTCAAATGTTAAACAAAAATAATACATTGCTAACATGGGTTATACATTCCTATAAAACTAACAAATAATCATACAACTCTGTTTCTTACCAGAAACATTTCATGTTATTTGTTTCTGCCAACGTCTTGTGTGTGTACCACCTGCTTAATGTGTACTAGAAAGAAATGCCAAACATGATTACAAGTCTCCCTTAATCTTGATTACTCACCTGCTTAAGTAGAATGTTGTTGTTGAGAAGGTTACCTAGCAACAGAGAAAAACACAACACCTCTTCCAGCAATAATGTCCATAATAAGTGTAGCTATTTGAGACATGAGGACCATAGGGTAAACTCCCAATTCCATCAGTTCTCTGGCTCTTTTCACAGTTTCAGTTGTGTTTGATGACATTGCTAACTCCAGAAGTTCCAATAAATTCTCATCAGAGACAACTCCTACCTACAATCAACTCCAAAAGAATTAGTAAAAAGTTTGAATAAAAAGTTACATGGATCAAGAAACCAGTAGATTAGATACTTACAAGTTCATTTCCAGCCTCTAAAGCGTCTGCATCTTTTTCATTACTTTGATTTACATCATCACCATGTGCATTTTCTTCCATCACTATATCACCATGTGTTGTATTAAAGGGGCTTGTCAGTTGATCACCCCCAAGTTTTACAAACTCGTTTATCTGCATAAATTTAATAAAAAATTGCAGGAATTCTCAAAAAAATCTCATTACAATGTGCAACTAAATTTAAAAAAAAAAGGAAAAAAAAGACTTACCCATGTGATTGCAGTTCAACAGGTGAATTCATCAGGGGAAGATGCTCTTTGTACAAGTATTTCTGCCATGCGACCGTAATCTGCAGACTTCATCAGTACCACTCCTAAAGTCAGAAATTTACAAATAAATGACAAAATTTGCTACTAAAAAATATGAGGTTTAATAAATATATTACACATACAAAAGTTAGATAGAGATACCTCAAATATCAAGTCCTTTCTGGTGATCATGCCAATCACACGAGAAGCACGTGGAACTACAAATATATGCATCAATCCTAATTGACGGAATAGATTAGGACTTTTAGTCCTTAGAATACCAGCTACATCAACAACTTTCACCACACGAGTGAAGTAACAAACCTATCAAGTGTACAATCAATCATTACATGCAAATATCAAACACAAACGTAATGTTTGGTTATCATGGAATAGGGATGGAATGAATTTTTTTTAATAAAGAACTTTTATTTACAGATACACAAAATTAAACATAATACAACTCATTAGAACCCAAATAAGACTTTAATATAAAAGATAACTTTCTAGTTATTTTTAGGAATAAAATTATGAATTTGTTTTCTTAATAAAAGAGATTTGTATCAGTAAAGGCTACAGGGATGCGTACTTTCATTTTATGGTTTCATCCAAGATAGTTGATGCACCACCAATAATCTTTTCCATTGGTAGTTCCCAACTGCTCAATATGTTTCCAGCCATATAATGAATGATGCGAGAATATAAATAAATGGACAAATTGCAGGAGATGTACTTTATGTCCATCCAATTACAACATTGTACTTTCTTTTGTTTCATATCAAGACATCATACTTTGAAAATTACAAACCAACTACTGTTCCAGACAGTATGAAAGCAAATGACCAATTTGCCCTTTCTCCCAACAAATACCCATCAAGCTTTTCCATCATTCTTTTCCAAAATGTGATTTTTTTTGTGTGTATCTAATAAAAAACATCTAAATGGAACTTAACAAATCTATTCTGGAACAAGAAAAAGCAGCTCACGCATCGATTTCTTTTTAACTGATTAATTTTAGATAAACAAGACACTGACAATAAAAGAGAGATAATCAAAAGGAATCCATTAAAACAACAAAAACAAAATCATATATAACTCTATGTAACCGATATGATTAACAATTCATAATAATAATAATAAGATAGATAACATGAGAAGTAAAGAAACAAAAGCTTAGCAATAGACTAGACCTGAGCAGTGCCTTCAGTAAACTTAGGATCCTCACACCTGTAACTTCCATTAGGTCCAATTCCAAACCCTCTTGGATCTGCAAACACATTTTCCAGCAGTTGGCTTCTTGAAGGAGCAGGGCTTTCATCTACAAACTCCACAGCTTCCTCAACCACCTCATCTATCTTCTTCTTTATCGCCTTTAAATCTGCTTTACTTGCCAATTTGTTTTCAGTCAGGTATTTCTTCAATCATGTTATTGGATCCCTTATTGCATAATGAGCCTTCTCAGCTGCAATTCACAATACAAATATACAATCACAACAAATTTCAATGTTATGTATATACAAGAGTAAAAGACTAAAAGCAACTCACTTGGGTCACGAAGCTTATCAGGATCATCCAAAGAGTGTCCTCTGAATCTGTAAGTCTCACATTCAACCAAAGTTGGGCCTTCTCCTCTCCTATCTCTCCCAATAGCCTCCTTTGCTACCTCCCTCACCTTCAACACATCCATGCCATCAACATGGACACCTGGCATCCCAAAAGATGGACCCTTCTTCTAGATTTCTAGATCTGAAGTTGAACGCAGATGGGACATCCCAATTGCCCACAGATTGTTCTCCACACAAATATGATAGGCAATTTCCATAGAGCTGCCATGTTCAAACACTCAAAGAACTGCCCATCATTACAGGTCCCATCTCCAAAGAATGCCAATGTCACATGATCACAATCTGCTTCTTTCAACACTTCTCTCCTGTACTTGCTACTGAATGATGCACCTGTGGCAACAAGGATGCCTTCTCCTATAAAGGCAAGCCCTCCAAGAACATTGTGTTCAGTAGAGAACATGTGCATGGATCCACCCTGACCACAGTAACACCCTGTTTTCTTCCCAAACAACTCGCTCATCATAGCACGAGCAGGCACCCCCTTGCTTAGAGCATGAACATGATCACGGTAGGTTCTCACAATACTATCCTCTTTCTTCAACAGATTGATGAACCCTGAGAAACAACTTCTTGCCCGTTGTATAAATGGACAAAACCAAACATTTCCCCCCTGTAATACATCTGAGCACACATGTCCTCGAAATCTCTCCCCAATATCATGTCCTCGTATACTTCTAAACCTTCTTCTTTGGTGAGCAGCTGCAGAGTAAAATACAAAAATCAATTTGTTGGATCCCATATCAAACACGGTTTTTGATCAATTAGACGTCATGCTGATGACGGCGGGTTTATGGAATCCGGGCCTGAAGCGAAATTCACAAATAAAAATGCAAAACAAAAGCAAAATCGAATACCTAATATTTGATGTCTATTTCCTTTAGTTTGGTAATCTTGTCAAACACAGATCGAGGGTAAGTAGTTTGATGAAATAATTGTTTAAGCTCTAGGTCTGAAGCCAGACAAGGTGTCAATTTCTCAAGAATGATAAAAGGATACAGAGAAAAGGGAGATGGGTAATAGAAAATAGTAGAAGACGGTTAAAGGCTTACACGATATGGAGGTAACCAAGAGAACAATCACCTTTAAGCTGCAATACAACTGTTGCCTCCTTTCCAACATTGTACACCTGTAAATTTTCCAATTATTTGACACAACATATTATCTAATTTCATAAATCCTGAATGAATAAGAACAAATCTTGAAAATTAGGAGTTCTAAGATACCTTAAAAGTGATAGGAAAGATGCTCTGTTTCTTGTGCTTGTGCTTGAAACTGTTAAATAGAAATGTAGAGATAAAGCCCAAAACTGAACTGGAAGCCCTAGCCTGAACACATCAATAAGAACACAATTATGAAAAACTGAAAAATCAAAAATCGAATCGGTCACCAATCAACTGCAGGTGGGTTCACTATTGAATCAATAACAAAATGAAAATGAAAATGAGGTGAACTGACATTCCTGCATAGATACATGGGGTGAGGTTCAAACTGTATGTAGGATTGGATAATGGATAATATAAGCATCATCATCATATCATATGGTATAAAAGAATGAAACCTAAGCTGTGTGTAATGAGTGTCCAGATCAACAGCTGCCCTTTGCTCTGGAGTTTTGGCCATCAAGAAACGCATTGCAATGGATAAGGTTTGACGATCAAACTGCATCAACCATTTTCACTATAGTAGATGATGATATCAGTAATCAGTCAAATATATATTATATTATTTCATTGTAAAACTGTACAGCTGGTCAGTGATGACCCAACTGCCAAAAGCTAATAAAAATTAATGAATAAATTTTATGCTTTCTAAATGAATAGATTAAGTGCCTCATCACCAGGCCTCAAGAAAGCAAACAGGGCACATGTAATGGCATGAGTGCCTGAGAAGAACTGGACTAAAGTTTGTTAAGTAAATTGAGAACCTAATAAAAATGGTGGGAAGAACAAATGAATGATTAAAAATGGAAAACCTGTTAACAAATAATTGTTGATTCAACACCAAAATTTTCTACAAAATCTTGGTCTAGGGCTTCTCTTCCACCTGCTTCTTGTCTACAAAATCTTGGTCTAGAAAAAAATTAGCTGCGAAAACAAAAGGATTTAGCAAGATAGGGTTCTGGTAGAAGAATGAAAACATAGGGAAAAAAATAAACCGAAACACACCTTAATAAGACATAGGGCTTGTAAATTAGAGCAATAGAAGAAGTAATCCTAAGGTCGTCGGACCTGATGTTGTCGGCAAGGGGAGAGGAGGTGAGATCTTGTAGTGATAGTACCTGAAGGTTTCTAGTTCGAATGATTTGGGCTCTGTGGAACCTTGATGCGAGGCCAATCATAAAGCATCCTAGTGCTTCGTCGCAGTGGAAGGTGCATTATGAGTGTCGATTCGCTTAGGTGGCGAAGCAGCAGCAGTGGTGAAAGTTAAAACCCTAAGTCGTCGGTTAATAGAGAACAACATTACATGCTTCCTTCTGCAGACATTTACACCAATTTCCCCTTTCGTCTCTCACTCTAGAAACCCTAATCCCTCCGCCACAATGAACACCATTACAGTTTCCATGGCGCCTTGAAAGCCCTAACTTGAATCTCTTGATCAGAAGCTACTGAACTCCTCAACCTGCACACACACGCTGACCATGCTAGATCTACCACCGGAAGCTTTTTGAAGATCGTACGCGGGATATATTTACAAATTAAAGCCGAAAAATTAGAATTCATCGGAGAGATGGTGGTATATGACATCGCCGGTAATTGATGATGCCATGGAAGAGGATGAGGGGTGTAGGATTGGGGTTTGTTGTTGTTGGAGTTATTTAAAGAAGCGTATCTAGAAGGAAGCAAGTCAAGGAATAGTGCAAGAAAACTGTTGGCGAGTATTCTCAAGAACAGCAGAGAGATGAAGAAGGTGAAATTACAGCAACGATGAAGTAGATGAATGGAAATCAGAAGCCCTTTTTCTTGATTGAGATGATGAAGTCGAGAGATGGAGATGAAATCGTAACCTTTGATCTTTGATTGAGAAGTTGCACAACAGTGTGAGGAGAATGAAAGATGCGTGAAAATGCTTAGGGCAGGGAGGGTAGCGGGCTTTTCTAATTTTTTGGCTTTTCTTTTCCCGCTTGTAACTAAGGAACGCGGGTTCATTAAAATTATAAAGCGACACATATAAAGGGCGCGCATTTAAGGTACAGCGCCCTCCGTGTTTTTAATTTTTTTTTCTTTTGACACTAATTTAAAGGCGCGCAATAATAAGTGACCTAAATCCTTAAATTTTCTGAAGAGATGACCCTTTTTTAATGTCACTCTCGTTTGCGTAACATAAATTAATGAGTGTCGTAATTTGCGCGTCGTAAAAGGATATTTTTCTAGTAGTGACTAGCATTATGCTAAAGGCCAAAGTAGCGGACCAACTTTATGATGAAGGAAAAAAGGGTGGACCAACTTCGTGCTGAAGGCCAAGGGCATACCAACTTTATGTTGAAGGCCATTATGTGTATATATTGTATATGTATTGTAGAATATGATATTTTGGGGAACTCATTAAGCTTTGTGCTTACCCAGTTGAATATAAATGTTTTCAGGCACTTCATTGATTCGTGAGAAGTGCAAGATTCGACTATACACACGAATTCGCAACTTGTTTCCGCATAATGTAAATATACTATGATTATTTGAATAAATAAAAATAAAAATAAAATTTGGGTTGAAAATCAGGATGTTACAAATTTGACTTTTATTTAATAAAAACACACTGGTGTATGTTTATATTAAAAATTCACTATAAGAAGTTATCAACATGATCGGTCCAAAGAAAATAAAATACAATGATCCAATTCGGGTATCACTCTCACTTTTCTTTGATCATTACTTATTAAAGAAAGTTACATGCAAAACACATATAAAAAAGGATAGTTATAAAGAGCTTAATGAGTTGTCCTTAACAATGATACACATAATTATTATGATATAAAAATACACCATTATTCAGTGTATGGTTTCTCGAAACCCGTTTACCTATTAAAGTTTACATTTACTCATTACTCAACTCATCATATTCTTTTTCTATACTCCATCTCTCTTTTTCTCTACTATCAATGTACTTATTTACATTCTCTGTGTGTGTGTGTGTGTGTGTGTGTGTTTGTGTGTGTATACATACACACACACTATATCTTTCCTCATCTTTATACTCACACTCTATCTCTCTCTGTGTCTATACTTCTCTTCTCCATTACTCTCTCTAACTATCTTTATCTCTATTAATATGCTTCATTTACTATTCCTCTTTCTCTTCATCTCTCTCTCCATCTCTCTCAATTTTTTCTCACCACATCTCTTTCTTTCTTTCTTTCTTTCTTTCTCTCTCTCTCTCTCTCTCTCTCTCTCCCTGACACACATACACACACACACACACTCTCTCTCTCTCTCTCTCTCTATATATATATATATATATCCCTCTCTTTTTCTCTCTCTATGTATCCTTACCCCCCCCCCCTTCTCCATTTCTCTCAATATCTCTACCTTTATGTCTCCTTCCTCCTATCTCAATATCTAAACTATACTAACTCGTTAACTCGTATCATACTCGATTATTTATCTTAGTAATACTCACTCGTTAACTCGTATACTAATAAACAATTATATGTCTCAATCATTGTCATTTATTAACTCATCTTTTAATATTCTATTTTTATTTCGAATGTACTCATTATGGATATTATACTTCACAATATATCTCAATCTTTCTCATCTATTTACTCAAATAGTAATAAAGAACTACAATTATCAATTATTATATTTAATGACTCATTTAGCATTGGGCAGGTAACATTCTTAATTATCACAAATACCTAACTCATACGATATTAATAAATAACAATTCAAAAAATGTATTCAACTCTAAATATGTACAATAATTATCACATATGTAAGTATCATTAATCTAAAGAGAGGTATGGTTACTCACTTGATTAGTTAGTGAAGACTAACTATTATTCTGGTCTCCACCTCATCGCTGTTTTCCAATTCATCACTTGTCCAACGCTATTTGGATAATATATCAAGTTCATTAGAACTTGTCTAATCTTATAAATGTATCAACTAGAGTGATTAATTACCCGATACTAACCAAACTCGGTAACCAATTGTCACCAGCTACTCAAATTTCAAATATAATCACCTAATGCCTCAACCATGTAAGTTGTTAACCCGATAAATCTCAGTAAATTAGGGTATTTAATCCGTAATGACCAAATTAACAATTAACAATTAACAATTCACTAGGTTCGTAATAGGACCATATCTCGAAATCCTGTAACACATAAACTTAATTATGCAATAACGGTATAAAAGATACCATAGTTAATCCCATAACTCAACCCTTGTATCCCCCGCACACCAGTATAACTCTTTAGTTATAAGCCTTCAGGAAACCTCTGAGCCACTCCCCCGACCGCATGTTCCAAAAGCTTTACAACGATAAATATGGATTGTGTGTGTCTGTCTGTGTGTATGTGTGTGTGTGTGTATATATATATATATATATATATATATATATGTATATATATATATAGAAGAGGGTTCAATTGAGAAAAAAGGTTGAGAATGGGGGAATCATTCTCAGCCATTCAATCATTTTTGCTGCAAAAGCCTCCATCGTACCAGCAGAAATGGGAAAGGAATAGACATGTGTTTTCCAACAAAACATATTTCCTTAAACTATGCTAATCATTACCTTAATATATACAAAAACATAGTTTTTCCGTTTTTTTTAAAATTTTTACGAAGCTATTTTTATCGAAAAATGATTTTAAATATACCAAAATTCATGATTTTTTATTCTCTACAAATAGACATTCATATTGATATAGTTTTAAGATAAAATAAATTTTTTTTTTATATTTTCAGCTATCGTTATTCATAAGTAAATAAAAATGAATCAGATTTTTACTACAGTACATTCGTTATTCACTTATGAATAAAAACTATGATTAATTTTTCTTTTTTACAATTTAAGTATCATTCATATATGAATATAGAATATACTAAACATAGTATATTAATATTTAAATATTAGACGATTCATTCACTTGTGAATATTACATACTATATTCACTTGTAAATATTAGATGGTATATTCACTTATGAATATTAGATAATATTTTCATATCTGAATATTACATAGTATTACATGGTATATCACATGTGAATATTACATAGTATATTCATTTGTGAATATTAGATGATATATTCACTTATGAATATTACACAATATATTCACATATGAATATTACATATATTCACATATAAATATTACAAGGTATTTTCACAAAATATATATAATTTTTATATGTTATTCACATATGAATAACATAAGACTTGCATATATTTTTTTTGTTTTAATAATCATGTACTCAGAAGACATATTCATATATGAATATAATGTGGTAATTTAGTTTATGCATTTCATCAAACAGTTGGAGTGCATACAATTTAACTTTTTTTTTTAAATGTTAAAAACATGATATTTTGACTATTTAAATCTTAAAAAAGAATAGATTGATAGAGAATTATATGAAATTTTTCAAAAAAAAAAAAAAAAAACGATATGATCTTTTTTTAACCTCAATTTTGAAGTATTATTTGATAATCAATATTGAATGA